TGGTAGAGAAATTTTGGTGAGTTTACTAATAACTTATGTAACTTTTCTAATTTGGAATCGTCGGATTTCGAGTTCACTTTTAATTCAGTATGTTGGAATATATGAATAAAGATTAGGAATAACTACGCGTAATAGCTTATTCTCATTAAATTTAAAGATATGGAGTTCTGTTTTTTTCTTTCTTAAGTAGTGTATTAGTGTCCTAGGAAAGTCAGAGAGCCAGAGAGTCTAGTCAGAGATTTTATTTTTAAGATGATCAACCGTAGACTTACAAAAAAAAGTTCAATACACCAACAAATTCAGTTTTTTCTGTACACACAAAATAGAAATAATTTATATTTCGAACAAAGAACGGCGTTGTTGGCCAATTCAGAAATTTTTTGAGTTACTCTCACTAATAATATTTGGAAGATGATAAATTTAAATTTTTATTTATTTGATTATTTTTGATATTTTTCATGTTGAAGTATGTTAGTATCAATTTTATAAATCCGAATTTATTAGAGTTGTGCGTTGTATAATCTCAATTTTGAGGGTCATCTCCGCGGTTCTTTTGTTGTAAGATTAGAAAATTACATTATACTTGTGTAATCATTTAGCTTGATGTATACTTAATATAATATTTATTTTTGATTTTCTTTCGAGAAAAATTAAAAATGTGATGAGTACATCGGATTTATAACTGGGTCTATTGGAATAAAGATGAACGAATTCGATAAATTAAACTATACTAATTTTAACATAATTCAAAGGAACAAAAACATAAACGTACGAGACGATTGTCCACGCGAGACTGATGTTCGTTATTTAAATAAGATTAATTAATATGTACATATTATAAGTCTAATTTTCAGGCAATTTTCTTCACGTAATAGTAACTATCAAATTTAATTCCAAAACATATAGACATATCCCGTTAAAAACATATTCACTACTGTCGTTCTTTTTTTATAGTTGAAGTTAAGTAAAATCATATATTAACATGTTGTCCAAAGATTATGCGATAAACAAAAATTAATATGAATATATCACTTAAAAATATTTAATATGTAAATATGTCACTTAAAAACAAACAAAACTCAAGAGTTTAGCGTAAAATATAATAATTTATCACATGGTAATTACAGATAAAATAAACAATACCCGAACCAATATAATAATTAATTATTTACATTTAACAAGTACTAGGTTCTGCAGTTATACGTAATAAAAGCCCATTTTGCAAATAAACTTTTCTTATTTAAGTTTATTATTTTTGTGAAAACATAATACAGAATAACATAATATTTTAAATATAGTGCTTACATTTGGGTGATGTAATTATGATAAATCGGATATTATTCTAATTAATTTAAGCTTTGGATTGAAGGGCTTAGGTATAGAAAACTATAATAGAACAATTGAAATATGTTGACTTTGAGCTTTAGTTTGTATTTAACGTTCATTCTATTACACATATTTTTATAATGAGATTAAGTTGACATTTTAATTAATTAAATATGAAGAATTGCATTCCTATGAGGCTAACTTATTTAACCTTATATCTTTTCACATAAATATACTGACCTGTTCTCAATTTTACAATTTTGATTTATTTTCTGAGTATCACTTAAATATAATGTATTTTATAAAATTGAAGTGTATTTATAGTATAAGTTATAATTTATACTTCTGATTCTTATTAATATAATAATTGTGTTATTTAAATAAGCAACATTGCTTTAACTATACGTTTTATCGTCCTCTAAATTAAAAATTATAATAGTATTGTTATATTTAAAGTCGAATTCCTTATTGAATGTATCGAATCGATATTATCGATATTAAAACATCAAGTTCATATACGTCTGATTATACAATAATAGCATCTAGGTAAGTATGTTTTTCTAGGTACTGTATTAACAAGTACGGTATAAATTACATTTATTTATATTAAAGCCTTAAATTTTAATTATGAAATGTTTCAGAAACTTTAAAAATACGCCAATTACGTGGATAAAATGTGCTTTTAATATAATAATATAAAATAATATACATTATTTATTCTCAGTTAGATTGAGAAAGTTAAAAAATATGTTATTTTTCTGTTAAAAATGAAATCGTTACTTTTGGTTTTTGCACAAATAGATATTACTCGAGAAAATGTTTATATCAGTGTATCCCAGGATAATTCGATTAATGAAATAACATTCGTTTTGTTTATTATTTTTAAATAATAATAATAATTATTTTTCAATAAATACTTAGGTCCTGCATTATTTTTAATTTTAGAACTCAAATTTGAAAATTATAAATCGTATTCTACAGTTTGAAATACAAACAAAAATAGCTATTTTGTAAACAGGAATTTCGATCAAAAATATTGATGTTTAAATATCTAATATAATTTTATATTAATTAAATTAATTTATTTATAAATTTTTATAAATGTTGTGAAAGTTTTAACAATATTATTGTGTATCACATAATTATTATAATCCATAATATAATATTATTAATATAGTATGATTGATCGAAATTAAAGTTCACAATTTGGACAAATTTTGTTGGTTTTTTTCCTTTTGTTTTTTTGTTTTTATTTTTATTTTTTATATTTCTACTATATATAGTAAACTGTAGTATTCTGAAGTGTTCAAAGAGTTATATGAAAGTGGTTGAAGGACATTGAGAATTTCTAAATTATACCTTGAAAAGTTTCCTGAAAGGAAACAATTAAACAAATATTATACCAAACAGGTAAGTTTAAAATTGAATAAAATAATAAAAATAAAAATAAATTTCAAAAATCATTATTATTTAATACTATATGATTAAAAAAAAAAAATTTTCAAAATTAAATTTTTTTAATACAAAATATAAAAAAAATATAATTACTATTACGAGTATTATCGTTTGCGTGAGTATAGCTAAATTTAAGTAACAAATATAATTAATTTGATAAAAAATTATATACTAATATTAATTAAAGCTTATGGAAAAAAAAAAATTAACATTTTTAAATTTGAATGCTAAATATCACAAAAATCTTTTAATACAATTTTGTTGTTGTACAAGTCTTATGTACCTATTTATTAAAAAAAAAAAAATAAATAATAAAAAGTTAAAAATAATAAACAGAACAAAAGTTATTCCATTTGTCGAACCATCTTGGGACACCTGTACATCACAATTACAATAATGTATTAGAGTTTTCATTTTTTTCACATAATAATATAGGTACTAGCTTGTTACAATATTGTACACTAGTTTTCATATTATAATACACTCGAAAATGTTTATTAACCGATAATTTTCTTGTGCGAATAATAGTGCGAATAATTTAATAAGAAACAACGATTTTCATGAAATGTGTTCATTGTTAATTTTCTCTTCGTTGTATGCGATTTTATGAAAATAACGATCATGTATACTTTATAGGTATATTTTTCTTTCATTTTCTTTTGAGCATAATTTTCCGGACGTACTATTAAATAATTAAAAATAATTTACAAATAATTTTTTTTTACAAATAATTTCCAAATAAAAGTGAATAGTTAAATACATTACCAACCAACCAATAATAATTTTAAAAATCTTACCATCTTAAAGATCTTAACAATGATTGGAGTAATTTGACACCCGTGGCGGAAATTTTTTATCTTATATTATCATCCGTACACACATTATGTTAACGGAGAGCAATACATCAATTTTGACTGACATTCATTTATATACGAATCCATAATGTATTCAAATGGATATTTCATCAAATTAAAAGTTTGTGGTTATCATTTTTTCCATACATTGACCATAGTTAATGCGTATTATTAAATTAAAATAATTATCTACTTGTTTTCAAGTATATTTTGAATAATATATCAGTTTAAGTAAAATTTAAATTAAAAAATGTTATAATAAATATATTGTTCATCATTTTTATTCCCAATCGTTAACACCCGAAATACTATTTTCAAACTGTACATACTGATATATCAATACAAATATAACAATTATTTAAACGATAAATTCACTATATACGAGGAAAAATAAATTAATCGATCTTAATTTTAAAAATAGTTATGTAGCTAATAATTGTATAAACACTGTTACATGTATTTGAATATGTTTCCTCTAAAAAAATATGTAACGAAAATAAAGAAAAAAACTTAAACGTTTTTAAATTTTAACAATTTTATGGTCCTTTTTTTAATTATAGTATTTACTATTCAGTGTGTTTTCCAAAACGTTTTATATCAGATTTTCTATAAAAGCTTTTTATTTTTTTTTTTTTATCATAATTTTTTTCTCAGTTTACACACACGCTCAACGTATTATTTAAAGAAAAAAAAGCAATTATATTTTATACACGGTTTTCACAACAAATAATTGTATTTGTAGAGAAAAACATTTAAAATAATGTTTTAAATACATTAAAATTGTATGTTTTTGCTCGGTTGTTATAAAGTCCAATAACTTATGTGTTCAATCAAACGAATTACCATAATGCAGTTATTTTGCAATCGAAAGTCACCGAAACGTTTAAATTCTAAAATAATAAATTATTAACGTCGTAAGCTGTCGTAAAAAAAAAAAAAATTTATATATATACATACTATCCCGTTCGACTATGTTTTTACGAATTCACAAGGGACGAATAGAACGTTATATGACTTCACGTGTTTTTACATAACGTTTTGCGCTAGAATTATTAAATTATGTAATTTATAATGTTTTCGACTCCGGGCAAATAACCCGTTATACTAGCCATTTAATACTTGTTCAGTAATGTTTTGAACTAATTTTATATTCGCGTTTACGTCCCACGGGTACGAGAACCGTACAGTCACTCGATGGACGACAATGGCGACGTGATTAAATATTTAAATACGACACGTATTGATTTCGAAGAATCTCGAAATTCCAGTTGATTAATTATTCATCGTGTAATAATACAACGTGTATAAGTAGAATATAATATATAATATGGTCATAAACAAACGTTGAACCGGTGCACACTCATAAAGAGACACATCGATAAATCTTCGCACAATGCGTTCGATTGAATTATATCGAATTACACTCGTCTAAATATACTACCGCGATCATATTCCGTGTACACTCGCTGCCGGTCGACACTCAAATCCAAATGCAAGGGTGGCCCATGTGATAATATAACGCGCACCGCGAACGCACGTAGATCGCGAACGTAAGACAAAGGTTGATCGGTGTGAAACGTGAGTACAAATATGAATATATTATATTACATAAACATTATTATACGATGCAACTCTATTGTTTATTCATTTTTTTTTTCTTCGATTTCTTCGGCGGACCGACCAGATATTGTACGAGTAACGAAGGATGTAAGCCTACGCTGAGATTATAATGTCCGAAGTTGTAAGTGAATCTATACGCATTTTAGTAGCTAATATGATAATAACTGCGTATTTTTTGTATGGGTTTTCTTTTCGCCCAATAAGTTAATTTAGTTTCGCCTAATGGAATATGATTATACGTGGTGAACAACAACATACAGACGTAGTGGACGTACGTGCACTTAATACCTGACTAAGTAATAACTGAACACTCGATTTAATCCTTATGGTCAGTTTCAGAAAGCATTTCCTAGCTCATAAATAATCGTTTTTACTCCTTCTTTCTCCTTCTCCGTCCTTCATTTTTTCGTTACCGTTCCGTTAAACCGTCTCTACTCGTATGTAATGTTCAATAATAAATTAATTACTGGATTTAGACAATAATTCAAGTCGACCATTAACTAGACTAGAAACCTATACGTTACAATTATATTTTAATGAAAAAAAACAAAAAAATCTTACTAGATTTAGCCGATATAATACGTATTATCTATAGTTAATTGATTAGTTTCACCAGTGACCATAAATTCTATTTTTTCGTATTTGCATTTATTGTATTTAAGATCTTTTACAGAATTATTTTCTATTAGTCCTAAGTATCTTATAATGTTTGGTTTAAGACCCTTCATAATTTTACGTATTATTTCTTTTTTTGTTATTGTAGGATCGATGCGTCTACATAATGATTCTATGTCGATTATATATATATCATTGTTTGCTCGTCACCGTCCGTCAGCACTTGTATAAATCCGTTTCCGGGCTCGTGTGCGTTTGAACGAATTATGATTATTGTGGGTTGATTGATACAACCTGACCGCCAAGTCCGTTCGACTGTGTACGTTACCGATATGTAAACACGTGGTTGCCAAGAACATGTGATCGGTGATTCCGACCGAATCCGACTCCTCCTCCCATCACCCCGAGAAAGATGAAATAATGGGGTGTATTTACATGAGATATGAATGGACTGTACATGGTCGTCTACCCTCTCCCCCGTACTTGATAATCATACCACAAAATGTTATCAGAACGATGGAAAATGTTTTTGAAGTCAATATTTGCAGGGACATCAACGACGACGGATGGACCCCGGATTCAATCCATTCCAAACACCGACCAGTCGAGCATCGATTTACAATATTATCACCGCTTCAACATTCTGCATGTTATTGCAAAATGGAAAACCTCAGATCTACAAATTCTATATCCATGCGACCAGATTCGAACCATACGATATTGTGTACATGATCGGTGATTTAATGTTGAATCATTCTTTTACCAACATATTACATTGACACCGTAGTCAAATGTCGTACGGATCGGATTTTCGCAGAAAAAAGAAGCAATAATTCACTCGACATGTTCGATTGACAACGTTTCTGTATAAGACCAAAACGTGAATAATATTAACGGTTGTTAGTAACGTTTACATTTTCGTTTCGACCGAAAATGGTTTTCATTTGTGCATTATAACTTGACAGTTTCAAATCGAGTGAAAATACTATCGGTTTCAACACAATAACAAACCAACATTATATCAAAACGGGGGGGGGGGGGGGAAAAACCTAGTTGAATAGTATAACGTTATCCCTCTGCTTTTTATACACAAGATCAACAAAGCGCATAGAGCTGGTGGATTTCTTAATAAAGTTTGGGCTAACTAAAGCGCATATTTTAACGCTACACCGCATAAAAATATTGTTCTCTTTAATTCATGTTTTAAGTGTTTTTTGTTGTTTTTAAGCCAAATAAAACGGAAATATCTTCAAACACGAACCGTGAATTCCTTGTTACTTTTTCCACAAAACACTTTTGCAAAGAAAACTTACTGAAAACTTTAGTTATAAAAAAAATAAATTATAAGTTACCGGTGCCTCTAAAAAAAAAAAAAAAAATTGAATTAGTTCGCTTACAAATTAAAACGGTAGGTATCTATTGTTGAATACATTAGTGTTGAAGCGTTTTATGAAATCCACAGAGAAAAAACAAAAAACTGTGTATTTATTTAAATAAACTCGGCACCGCGTTACTTGTATGTGTGTATGTATGTGTGTGTGTGTGGTGAGTATATTTACGATAACATTTTTTTTCCCATCAAAGTCATTCGATGAGCTGCAAAAAGTATTATTTAACGTAAACGAGTGTTAATTATAACTCTATTACATGATAGTGTACCTACCTATATATTCAGTAGTAGCAATAATGTAATGCTAAAATTACAGAACATTATAAACTCTGTTGAGAAATATTTTTTAAAAACAAATTAGAAACTATTATGGAACGTGGTGCTGGAGTATAGTACAGATCTGCTGAGATAAAAGTTAGAAGCGGTAACAGCAATTTTTCGTAACACGCATAAAAGTTTGAAACTTTACGGACTAAAAAAATGTTATGAATTAAAAAAAAAAAAACTTATGCGTGCAATGTGTACAATTGTACACACTAAATATTACATTTATAGTAAATTTATTTAGTATTTAACGTGATTCGATGGAAATGTACAAGTCACCAAGACATGGTTCGTGAGCGTATAATGATTTTTTTTTCAATTGGTAAGTTGCAATTTCACAACACGATATCTTATCATCTAAGAAAATGTTGACATAAGCTCATCACATCTATACTTATGGTACGAGTTTAAGATAAAAATATTATTGAATACTAAAACATTTAAAATTACAATAATCTATAAGAATAGCACAACGATAAAAAAAAATTAGTACATTTATCGTGAATATTTATTCAAGTAAAGGTTTTAAACTAATGGAGATCAACTCAAGATAAAAAACAAAGAAATAAATATGATTGGAAAAAAAATGATTGAAAATATTGTGTCCAAATTAACTGATTATAATAATATAATACGTATTGCGGTTTCAAAATTTTCTGAAATCGTGCACACACATATTGTAACGATTATACCACAGAAGGTCACCTTTGGTACAACGTAGCATACTATTCAGATTCGAGTCAAACTTCGCTACGCACCACCTTGTTCATATTCAACCGTCAGTAACATAGAACAGAGCACCAACAGAGAGTGCATTTTGACACAAGTTTAATGTAACATTATGTATGATTTGAGGAAAGAAGATTCTTAATATATAGGAATCTAAATATAGGAAATAGAAAGAGGAAATCCAAATCTATGGGTTTGTTAAAATTATGAGATGAAACTATTAAACAAGGAATTATGCAAATGTCAATCTACAACGATAGAAAACAGAATTCGGCATATAATCGGCACCAGCATACATACACATAAGGTCACGTTTCCGAAGAGAAAAATCAACAATGCCCAATCCTTGTAATAATATATTAAAGATTTAAAGCTCTGGGTACGGAGAAATCCGTACTGTCGGGCTGCCCAACCTGTATACTTGATCCTATATACAACCGTTCCTCTTGATGTGTGTTTACTTATCGCTCTTGGGTACGGAGTAATCCGTACTGTCGGGCTGATTAGGGAAGCACACACGCAATACCATATCCCTCTACGTTATCCCTACTCCATATTTCACACAAAGTCTATTTATTAACCGCCGTGCATTTTGTCGCAGTCCACACCACCGTCAGTCCATCGTCATCTATATATATATACATCACGCTTCCTGCCGCAGTCCACACCATCATCTCATCGCAATTGGTATTATTAACACAGCGAGTCAAACGAAAAATTTATAACTATATATGTGTTTCTGTATATGTAAATTTAAATATATTCAATTATAAATTGTTTTTTTTATTTAATTATTATTATTATTATTATATTTAATATACATATATATATATATATATATATATATTAATGTTCATCGACAACAAATAAAGAAACGTGTTGAGTTCAATACAATATTTGTTATTATATTATGTACAAGTGAATATATTGCACTCTTTATACGGTCACCAAAGGTATCTTGATTTTATCTCAATTTCAGTTCGTGATTTAGTTAAGGATTTTCGTTTGATCTTGTCGTTTGTTCGTTCCTTTGCTATTTAATAGAACTTTAACGACCTAAACAATGTATTTAACAAACGAAAATTCGTTCGCCTGACATGAAAGCTCTCATTTACAGTAGGCATTACTATTTTATGGTAATAAAATACTCAATTTTACAAATAATACAAATAATCAATATTATATCTTCCTCATTAATCTTCTATTTTATAGCCCTAATTATTACTTAATATATCTATATCTTAGCAGCGGTTGTTTAGTTAAATAAATACGTTTTGTTAATGTATATTACACTCAGTAAGGCTTCGATAATATAACTATCTAATAACGAACTATGATGTAAGTTGAACTTTCGAGTTACCAATTATAAATTCGTTCAAACAATTTATGAGTTGATACAATTCTTAAAGGAAAACACATTTTTTAATTGTGGTATCTAAAGTACTTGATAGACGAAGACCAAGAGTTTATATGAAATTAACAATAAATATTATAGTTAACTATAGTATTCATATGCGAAAATTTGAAATATTTTATCATAATAAATTTAAACAGTAAATAATACAGTCATAATGATAATTAACTGAAAGAAAGGAAATTATTGCTCCACTGTCATAGGCAACATTTGAAAATTTTATGAACATATTTGACGATTCAATTAATTGTTATTGATTTATACGAGTATCATTTATTTTAATTCCTGTAAGATAAATCCTGTAAGTGACCATAATTTAAGAGATCATCCATTATTTATATTCTTACACTATTCTTAATTTTTTTAAACTTGAAATATTAATTGGTATCTTAAGTAAGTATTTGGATTTTGATTATGAAAACTAATCTTGTCATTTTTATTTTGTGTTAGTCCACAAAAACAAGTAAACTATAATTTTATTTTTTATTAGGTACCTATTATTATGGTCGGTAAAATTGTTTTATTATAAACTATTATTTATAGGTTTACAAAAGGAATATATTATCGCAACTTTAGCAAGCAATATTGTATGCACTGTTTGTACCTACGTGCAAAAGGATCGTTCTTTCGATAAGCTACTGAATTTCGGACATTCTACCCTTGCGATAACACTTTGAAATACATTTTGAATGAATAATTAAATGGATAACAATTTCTTCGCTCTTAAAGCTGGAAAATTGAGTAATCCTGATCTTATATCAAGCATAATGTCCCCCGGGCACACTTGAATATTCTTTGTTTACTAATTCAAAACCAGAAAAGTAAAAATCCCAGAAACGCGTGAGACCGAGGTTAAAAGATTCGTACGCGTATTCAGGTCGAGTATAATTAATTAGTGAAGTAATTAAAAATTATGCAAACGCTGCGACATAATATTTCTCGGTATCAACGTTTCTCTTTTTACAATCGGAATAAAATTATTACATTATACAGATGATGTGTTTTATTCACCTAAGCGAAAATCTATACAAATCTTTCACTTTCGTAGTAACTGTATGCGCAAATTTAATACATTTTATGCATCTCAAAACTATAACACGTGTACGTAGGGAATGAACCGTCGTTGGAAAATAAAAGCACAAGAACAGCAACACTATTATAACAATGGATACCGCGAAATCGTAATGCACTGCATCGGATTCGTATACATTGTAACGTCTCGCACTTTCAACGTGGTCCAAATAAGTGGAGCGTTATGTGACGGGTCGTATGGGGTCACCAACCTATAGCCGAGGCGTTTGTCGGAGAATATAGGATTTTTTGTCCTTCTTTTCCTATTTTTTATTTTTACAATATATGGGAACTAGGATAAGAAACCTAGCGGAGAAAAATACAAAAATTAAAGAAATAGTTAAAAACATTACAATATATTAAATTGGTGTCAAGAAAACTTTTTTCTGGCATAAAAATCGGACAAAATAAAATAAAAACAAAATAAATTTAATGAGAATAATAATAATACGAAGAAGGGTGACTTTGCGAAGAATCAGAACACAGACTTATATTTTTATATCTCATATTTATAATAATCATACCCTCGTGAGTGATGCCGTGTCTGGGCCTCGGTTTTTTAACTTCATAATAAAAAATAATTTTAAATATAAAGCCAATAATAAAAAAAAGAACATAAAAAGAGATACCAGCCAAAATATACTAAGCTATTAATTATAATTATAAATACACATATCATCCTACGCCCGCGTTTCAAGAGCGTTGTTCTGGAGACGCACCGGAAAAGTCTCCAGTTCAGCTGACCATGGTGTTGTTGCGATGGTGGATAAAACTCTACAAAAACTCTACAAAGACAGTCATGGTACCTCTTGTAATGACAACCTGGTTTCTATTTTTATTAGCCAATACCCCGTACAGTGGATATATGATTGTAATAATCGCGTGCAGTTCCGGTCAATTACGCCAATTACACAAAACGAGTACGGAGACAAAAAAACAATGAGTCGACTAAAATAAACAACAATACACTCGGAAGTGTCTTGATTGTGAACGCTCGGATGGATAAATTTTGTCTCCTAATGATAACAATCATTGTAAATTCAGAATATAATTGTAAAGTACTTATTTCTGAACTTACAGAACCCCTTGTAAATGTTTGATACCGCAAATGTTTAGGCATCTATGATTAAAAAAAAGGGTAACAGTTATCCACAGATTTTAAATTTAACGTCTTTATAAATATATGCATCTGATTCTAATACGGCGAATGTACAGGATAATTTCGAACTATCGAGTAGACAAGATAAATCTTAACACATAGTGGTCCGAATATT